CAGGTCACCAGTGAATACTACAACTCCCAGAATGCTGAGCTCCCACCTCTGGAGCAAGGCAGGCTGGGGACGTCCTATCCTCTAGAAAGCTGCTCCATTGGCAAAGGCAGGGAGTTGGCAGTGGCCTCAGCCCATCCAAGCCCTGCCACCAGGTGCTGCCCTCTCACTTGTCCATGGCCCTCCATGGTCAGGGCAACTGGATGGGTGGGAGGAGAGAAGTGGCTCAGGGTGCTTGGGGACAGAGCTGAGTGGGCCCTGGGGATGCTCCCAGAGCAGGTGTGTGTGTGTGTGTGTGTGTGTGTGTGTGTGCTGCCCCACCTCCTCCTACTGGGGGGCCCTGGGGGCCCCTTCTGCTGACAACTGTACAGCTCTGTGGGGGGGGGGTCCCCAGGGAAGAAAGGAAAATAGACAAAGACAGAGAACAACAACCTGGTGAAGGTGATGGCAACTTTGGATGTGCAAGTGTCCTCAACCCAAACCTCCCCCTCAGGACTTCTCCGGCCCACCCTCCAGTCCTGGGGTTCCCGGGAGTCTCTGCAGCTGGTTGAAAAGTGCAGAGAGTAACTGCCTGTCATTTATGCCTCCCTCTTTCCTCACCTAAATTGACTTTCAAAACACCCCAATTTAGTAACTGTGGCAGGCATCATTTATTAAGTGTTTCAAGAATGTGTACCTGATGCATTAAATCCTTGACAATCCTAAGGTGTCACCACTGTTTTAAGAGGAGGCTACGGGGATCAGAGAGGTTAAGTAACTTTCCCAAGGCCTCACTGTAAATAAAGTAATGAGCTTGGGATCCAAACCTAGATCAACTTCTCTGTAAAGCTAGAATATTACAGAACTTCCATGCTTTTCGGCTGTGCCCACAATAAGACCCTGCAGACTAAGGAAGCTTCAGAAATAAAGTGCCCGTGAAATATTCTCAGGCCAGAGAACACAGAGGCATGGTGGGAATGTGTCTGGATGTGTAAACGCATTGCTTATGTATGCGTGCATGGGAGCTAAGTGACTTTGTGGCATCCACAGAGTCAAGGGATTTGCTGGCCTTGGAGTGGAGGTGTGGACGTAGGTGTGTCTGGGAGCCAGGTAGGTGTAAACATCAGGCACAGATCCCAGGCTCCAGAGCGGGTTAAAGGTAGCTGTGTGCATCTTGGGTGGTATGGGGGGGGCCCTAACTGGTTTCCTTTTCTCAACTCCAATTTCAGGGCACTCTGGGAATCACAAGGCCCATTCCTACCCCTGGACTGTGTTTCTCTCCCAGAACCAAGGCCCCACCCAGCCAGCCCCCCACCCATTTTCCTACTTTGGGGACATGGAGCATTGTGGGTGCCTCTCCACTAAGTGGCTTCAGGTTGGGTGCTCGTCCAGCTGAGTGCTCAGCACCTGAAAGCACCAGGTCTCTCTTCACTGTCCTCTCTGAAACTGCCCTGCTCCTTCACTTGCCTAGGATGGGGGCCCCTCAGATCGCAGTCTCCACTTTTCAGGGCAGGAAGCAAGGCCCAGGGAGGAGAGTCACCCACACAAGGTCAAAGGGCAGGTAAGGGGTGGAGTCCAGGTGGCCAGGCCTGTCCATGGGGATACTTCAAGCTCTTAATTGTGTAGGTGGGGTCAGGGTTGCTGGGCAATAGATTGCAACATCAGCAACTGCTCTCCAAGCCAGGGCAGGGCTGTGGGCACAGAGGAGGTCTAACCTGGGGTAGAATATTGGAGAACAGGGGCTGGTGGCAGTTCTTCCAGACACACCCCTGCCAGCTGTGTGCCTGTGTCTCAGTGGTGTTAGAGCTGGAGGATCAGATGTCTGGCTACATTGTGATTTCCCATTGAGGAGTGCATGGTGGGGAGTCATAAGGTACATTTTTTTTTTTCCCACATGGAGTTACTGGGGTGACTTAATGGAGGGCTTGGGCTCACAGGGAGGCAGGTGAAGATGCAGACTGGCTGTTTCCATATAACCAGGGTCTCAGTCTTCCAGTGTGTAAAAAGACACCAATACCCTCACCCTACCTCCTACTGATTTCAAGTGGCTAGGCAAAAAAGTATTCACACCTGAGGATAAGTAGCACTAAAAGAATGCATTTAGCAGGGTGTGGCGACTCACATAATTCCAGCTACTCTGGAGCATGAGGCAAGAGGATTTCAAATTGGAGCCCAGTTTGGGTGATTAGGGAGACCCTGTCTCAAAATAAAAAAATAAAAAGGGGCGGGGGTTGTAGCTCAGTGTGAAAACCGTGGGCTCAATCCCTAGTACCACAAATATAAATAAATAAATAAGGCTGTAATTCAGCACTTTCTAGGCTCAAGCCTCAGGTTTTAAAAAAGGCACTTATCAAATGTTCATTTTACTTTGTGCCAGGCAGGCATTGTTTTAAGAACTCTGCAAATGTAACTCATTTGATTCTCTTTACAACCTCAGGAGGACACAGAGAGGGTATACAACATCCCCAAGGTCACACAGCCAGTCTGTGGTAGGCCCAGAGACAGGGTATGTTTTTGCTGCTAATTGCTGCACCTGCTTCCTCTGCAAATAGAGGGGAGGCTTCCTTTGGGGAGCACAAGGCTAAGGGTTGCCCATGATCACACCCCACTTTTCCCCGCCTGTCTTTGCTCCTTGTGATCTCAAGTCCCCGAGGCAAGGGAGGCATAGCCTGGTGGCTAAAGGCACAGGCTCCAAGACAGCCAGACCTGGCCTCTCCCATGGCAAATTACCTAACCACCGGAGCCTCAACTCTTTCATCTGTGAAATGCAGGTAATAATCCAGTTGTGTGTCTGTTTTAAGAATTAAATAAGAAGTTTCATGCAAAGCTCTTTACATAGTTAGGTAAATAACAAGCCCCCCAAAATAGCTATTGTTATCAATGAGACACAGAACACAAGCGGTTTAGTGGAGAAAAATCAGTAAAAATCAAGGTAAAAGAAAACAGAATTTAAGCATGTATGGTGACGCACATCTATAATCCCAACTGCTCCAGAAGCTGAGGCAGGAAGATGGCAAGTTTGAGGCCAGCCCGAGCAACTTAGCAAAACCTTGTCTCAAAAAAACAAAACAAAATAACAAAAAACAACAAAAGAGATGTGTCTCAGTGGTAGAGAACCCCAGGGTTTGATCCTCAGTACTGCTAGAGAGGCAAGAGAAAGAGAAAACCTAAAACTTGATGATAGAAATATGACACAACCCATCAGCCAGGCAGTACAGCTTGTTTGGACTTTTGAGTTTACCCTGTGTTAGGGACTCGGACAATGAGTAGCAGGGGATGTCCCCAAACTCTCTGAACATACCCCATCCATCTGCACTAGGATGGGAGGTGGGCACAGAGATGATGCTTATGTCAGGATGATCCAAAGTCTGGAGAGAACCTAGTGTCAATCCACTATCACGTAGGGCCCAAGCCTCTCTACCTGCGTTGTTTGGTCCCTAGGACAAACCTTGCGGTAGTAACCACACTATTTTATTTTTTTCCTTTGAGACAGGGTCTGGCCAGGTAGCCCAATCTGGCCTTGAACTTTTGATCTTTCTGCTTCAGCCTCCTGAGTGTTGGGATTACAGAAGTGAGCCGCTGCACTCTACTAAAAAACACACTTTTTAATGGAAACAGAGGTTTGGACAGGTTAAGTAACTGGTCAAGGTCACACGGCTAAGGAATGGTAGAGCTGCGATTCAAACCCAGGTCTTCATCATTCTCTTATACTTGGAGGGACCTTGTAGGGTATGCAAACGGGGTTTCTCAGCCACCTTCCACCGGTCTTCTGCCAGCAACATCCCCACCCACCCAACCACCCAAAACCAGGACGACTACACGGGATGAAGCAACAGCAGGCCCCAGCAGGTGCCACTCAGGGGCATGCCAGGGCCTGGACCCTCGGTGCCCTGGAGGACAGTTGTGCTGCAGCACGTCCCCGTCCTCGTCTCCTCCCTTGCGCCTGGGAGCAGGACCCTGGGCCCAAACTAGGGAGGTGCTGGGCACAGCATGCGGACCCGGAGAGGCCCCGCCCCGGGGCGGTGGGTGCAGACCTCTGCCCGCAGAACCCTGGCAGGTGGCAGCAGAGCCGCAAGGGCAGCGCCCCTCCGACCTCTGCCTCCACAGCCCTGGCGTTCTTCCCTTCCTGGGGAGCAGGCGACAGCTTTGGGAAAGTGGCCCTGGGCGGCCAGCGCAGCAGGAGGAGCAAAAGCGCCCTCTCTAGGGGCCTCTGCCCGCTCGGAGCTACCGGCTCCCGGCTCCCGGGTGCACCCGGGAACAGGACGCGCG